TCCATTCCCAGTACAAAAAAAAAAAAAAAAAAAAAAAAAAAAAAAAAAAAAAAAAAAACAAATGGCTCCATGAATATAAAATATAGATTCAAACATTAAAAAAAACTATACAAGAATAGCAATGAGAATTCTAAGGGAAAATATCTCTGGTTTTTTTGTTTTGTTTTGTTTTGTTTTGTTTGTCTTTTTGGGACAGGGTCTCGCTATTCAGTTCAGGATGGCCTTGAGCTCAGGCTAGTCTGGAATTCACAGCAGTCCTCCTGCCTCAGCCTCCTGAATGCTGGGATTACAGGCATGCATCACCACACCCGGCCTCTGACTGGTATTTGTGACATCTCAGAATTTAGCACTTCTTTATCAAATCTGAAGAAAATACATTAGCTGCAAAGAGATAAATCAATTCAGTGTGTGTATTTTCTTTAAGTGAGCATACTCCTAGAAACATACAAATTTGTTGTTTCAAGTTGTTCTCAAGGTCATTGGTGTTGGGTACCTCCAAATAATAAGATAAATATTTACACCTTTGCCTACCTGTGTGCTTTGTGGTTCATCCATTCGCATATAGAAGAGATTGGTGAAGCTTTAACTATCTTCTGAGCATATATGAGTAGCATTGGGCCCATTTTTTCTTTCTGTTTGCCAAGAGATCAAGTTACGGTCAAAATTCCCTCCTCTAGTGAACAATAGAAGGAGGTAGTGCATTGTTTTAAGGGACATAACATTTTGAGTCATTGGGAATGTGCTGTCAGTATGCCAGCAGCAGTGCTGATAAAAGCCCTTACCTCGTATCAGGATGACTCATCCCTCCGCCACAGCAGAGCTTCCCTTAACTCCTGTGTGAAGGAGGAGGTCACACAGAGAAGAGGGTATGACTTTCATATGAGAACTAGGCTGTCTTTAAGGCATTTACTCTGGGGCTACTGCTGAAAATCATTTCAGCTATATAAATCACAGGCAGAACTGTCCACTCCAACAAGTGTCTGGCTAACAGATTAGTCAGCACAAAAAATAACAAATCATTTCAGCAAATTGAGTAATTTCATCTTCCTTTGACCTTATTCTTTCACCCATAAATCTCAAGAAGTTGGACTAGATGATTTGGGATGTTTCCAGAAATGATTGGTAATGAATATGTACACATCGGTGGAAGAGGCTGGCGTAGGCTAGAGTTCTCTCTGAACTGATAGGAACTTGTTTGACAAACCTATTAAGATGATGTTCTGACAGAAATAGGTGGTCTGGACAGAAATAGACAGAAATAAGATGATGTTTCTCCAATGAATCAAAACCTAGGCAAACTCCTCTTTGTATTTACTAAGTGTAATCTTCCTTTACTCTCTAGCCTTTCCACTTAGTTATGAGACCCATCAATGGATCCCAGCCCCCGGGACAGACCCATGCAGGAATTGCCTACATTTTGGTGATGTGTCTGTTCCAATATTTTGATACTTAAAGGATGAGGGTTTTTTAAAATCTTACTTAGGAGTCTTGAGAGTTCTTTAGGTTTATTCTCCATACAGATTTTTAACAGATAGATGATTTACATTTCCTCTCCCAGTTACTTTCATTTGCTTAATCACATAATTGACACATACTTGATTTGATATATAATGTGTTCTTTTTTTAAAAGCTCAGTTCCTGATATGAGGGCTGTCAGGGAGTTTTGAATTTCTTTGGAATCAGAGGAAATTAACTGACATTGCTAAGTGGCAGCGTCCTCCTCCTTTTGAGAGTAAATGTTCACATCACTTGAGTTACTGGGGATATATAGGTGATTCACTTAAAAAAGCAACAGCCGCTTATACTTAATGGTGTTTTGTAACATCTGGAGATCTATACTTTTAGTCATTTGTCAGCCCATCGTCTTTTCTAAATTGCAAGAAGGCTCCAAAGAATAGTTTCTATAAATTTGTAATTACCTTGAAATTTTAATCTTTTGACCATCCTTACTCTAAAAGCTAGTTACTCTTGCTGCCATAGACCTTTCATGTTCTATCTTAAAATTTGAGGAAATGGTTGGTCATACCACTGTTTAGAAGAGAATGGAGTCTGATCCACTGTAATATACCTGTATAGTGGGTCTGAAGAATAGTAACCATGATTTTGATCAGTTAGAGTACCCTGAGTGAGCATGCCCTGTCTGACTACTGATACATATTTATGGAAAATGGCCCAATGCTATTTTTTATAAATCTCTGTATTATCACCAAGTAAACTATCCACTTAAGCACAATAGCAGGGTTTCATATGTGACTGTGTATTATAATAAATTCTAGACCTTTAGACTATGGTAATACCACTGCAGGTGAAAACCTATGGAGAGTTTTCACAAAGCAATTGCACAGTTAATTTATAGGTATAAGCTTCATAGTTGTTATATTCTTTTTCCATTATTCCATTAAACAATATATAAAATTGTATAATGGCACTGTCAAAGTTGTAGCAGAAAGGATTCTCTAATTTGGAGTAGCTCTGCATCTGTGTAGATAAATGCTGATAAAATACATCAATACAATGTAGATAAATCTTGTTTTCATCCTGTATTTTAACAGGTATTGCCTTTATCATAGGCCAAAGTGTTATAAATCTCAGTGTTACCTTGTTTATCTTTCATTTTTCCCTCTCAGTCTAGCCATGAATTTGACAACTCAGAGGTATGAGCTTTAGAAGTCAAGGCACCTGCAAGACAGCTCGGAATCTTAATACACAGGCTCTAGAGAGTCTGAAAACCTAGAGTACTCCTGTCTTCTTTAGTCATTATCATTGTGATCCACACCAAGCACCTTTGGCCTGTCCTTTCATCTGTCAGATGAAGATAAGTGTCTTTTCTAGGTGACAGATTCGTACAGTAACAGTAAGAAGTTGGTTTATATTCCTCTCTTTATGCATTGATAGTATAAAGTGTAGGAGCAGAATCTACCAAAAATGTTAAATTATTTAAAGAGAACAATATTTGGAGAACTCTACAACTGACCCTTTTAATGAAGCACCAGTTGTGCTACATCTTGTTCTGAAACTCTAGTTTTCATGTGCCTGCTTCTTACAGGAGACTACTCTTGCAGTTGAGCCAAAGTGGATATAGCCCAGAGAAGTGAAAGAAAGATGACTGAAAACATGATCTACTTTGTCTCTTGTCCAGAGCCAATCTCTTAAGCTAAAATTTTAACCACTGCACTTATGCCCTTCTTGAAAGCTTCATTTCCTTCTTATCTCTTCCTGCACTTACAGCTTTCACTTTTTTCTCAGATGCCTGTCTTCTCTTAGACCAAGGAAAGAGGAGGAAGAACCAACAGTTTTATTGACCTCAGTACTGTCATGTTGAAGGTTATGGTGAAGGTGTGCGTGCATAGAACATGGAAGTCCTTCATTGTGTACTCAAGTAAATCATCAGCCACTTCTGCTTTATAGATAATGGTTCTGGGTGATGTCCATATTCCCACCTGTTTATGTTGCCTTGAAATGGGAGCTATTTGCTTATAGTATTATTCCTGTAGCCATTGGGACCATAACCTAAGTATGACTCCCTGCGAGTTACAAGTGTTTAATGTCTTTTTATATTTATTTCTAGGTCAGGAGCGCTTTGGCAACATGACTCGTGTATACTACAAGGAAGCCGTCGGTGCTTTTGTAGTCTTCGATATATCAAGAGGTTCTACATTTAAGGCAGTGTTAAAATGGAAAAATGATCTGGATAGTAAAGTTCATCTTCCCAATGGCAACCCTATTCCTGCTGTCCTCCTAGCTAACAAATGTGACCAGATCAGGGACAGTGGCCATAGTCCTTCTCAGATGGACCAATTCTGCAAAGACCATGGCTTTTCTGGATGGTTTGAAACTTCTGCCAAGGTGAGATCTGCTTTGCTGGTGAATCCTCTCAGCTGTTTACCTTGTCAGAGATGTGGCTAAAATATTTAGATGGATCCCTGTGAGGGTTTCTTTTAAACCCAGAAAAAGAAATCTTTTAAACCCAGACATCCATCATGGATGTCCAGTAGCCTTTCTCATTTTGTAGCAAGAGTGCTTTCCAAATATATCAATAGGGAAGTGAAGAAAGGGTAGATTTTTGCATTAAAATAAAAAGAATTGTTATTAAGAACAAAAATCAAGTGACATTTTCTTTGAATTTGAGTTTTTAAGTAGAGTACTTCTCATGCTACTGAAGTAAATGAGAGAAAAGATATATTGTTAAGCACAAGCATTTTTTCCTTTTAAAAAAGGCTTAAAGAAATATGGGGTGATGCCCCTAAGTGAAGATCTATAGATTTGATCAATGAATGTTTAAATTAAAAAATATATTACAGTAAAAACACATTGCTATTAATCTCCCCTCAAGATATTCCTCCTCTCTTCAAATACGCTTATCTCCTTGTTTGGGTCACTCTCTGAAGTAGTGCTGGAAGTCCTCCTTCGTGCCTTTAGTTTTGCTGTGAAACCTGCCTCAGTCTTCTGCACTGATACTAAGACATTTACTTTGCAAGGTCACTGTGACTTTAGGGAAGAGTCAGACGTCATCTGGTGCCAGCCCTGGTGACTAAGGTAGCTGAGGACGCAAGTAATGATTTTTATTAACCTGCCTTTCCATGGGATGGCACCTGGCAGCAGCATTCACAATATTTTTTTAAATCATCCTTTGTAACGACACTCCAGAACTGCCTCGGGCAGTGGCAAGAAGAATGAGATAATTGGAGTCAAAGCGAGAAGGGGTATTTTGAGGGCGATTAAGGGCAATGTGTCTTTTACTGTGGTGCAGTTTTTTTATTTAGACACTCACCATATAATTTGATCTTACCGCCTACATCACAGGCAGCGTGAAAGAAGAAGTTGAATGCTCAACAAGTAGATTTACTGAGAGATTTGGAAAACTATGTGAACTCTGTATGAAAGATTTGAACAATTGCAAAATGCCAACATTTATAAAATGCTTCTTCATAAATATTAGGGTGAAATTCTTTTTCCTCACTAATTGGGAGCTGGATAAAATGTTTTGAAAGAAAAAAAAAAAACACCCCAAAGAAGACTTTGAAAAGCTTAATCATCTGGGTATATAAGAAATCAAAAGTGAATTGCAGAAGTACAAAATATTGGGAGAGTTCTGTGCACCGGAAGTTTCACATGAAACAAAATCACACATATAAAATGATATGTTTGAGAACTTCTTTGTAGAGAAACACTACTCTGTAAATTTGTACATTCGTGACACAGTTCCAGCTTTCATACGCGTTGTGTAGATTTCTCTTATATATGTGCCCACGTATTATTTATCCTTCCTGCAGTCATTCCCCTCATTCTGGAGACTTCGGTAGTGACAGGTTACTCTCGACTGTGCTGAACACTGCCCCTCAGAGTGAAAAAGTATTAGAGGCCACTGGTGACCAGAATAATGAAAGCAGGAGAAGAGACAGTGCCAGAGGCAGCCTGAGAATTCTGAGTAGAGTCACTGGAGGAAAAGTGTCTCCCAGGAACAGGAGTAGAGTTTCTAACCTGCAGGCTGTTTGTTTCACTAAGAGCAGCATCATCACCATCAGAGTAGTTAGTTACTCAGGACTCCAAGGTGCTTCATGAACTCTTGGCCTGGCAGGAGGAGCAAACGTCAGAAAGAAAGGCTTCTGAGAGAGGAGGACTTTGGGTAGCCAGGCTTCAGCCTGCTGAGTGATTTACATTAACTTTCCGGTTTCATTGAAAAGAAAAATAGCAGTGTATGTGAGCATGTACTTCGGTCGGGGAGTATTGTGTATTCCAAATAAAATACCACTTTAGGCTTGACTTGAATAAATCTTAATTATAAAAATGTAAATTTTTGCCTAGAATCTACATGTAAGATTTATAAATGATGTCATATAATTTGAGAATGTTTGTTTTTTACTTTATTTTATTTATAGAGGAGATTAGGTGTACAGATTAGTGGAGAAAATTGGTTTAAAGGTACAGGTATGTTCTGTGCTTCCACACAAATATATTAGAAACAACTTCTGAAGAACTTTTTATGTAATATAGCAGAAATTTTCATAGTATAACAGTAATATATATTTTAAATTAAAACTCTGCTGTCCAGTAATTTAACTACTCCTAAATGTGGCTAATGATACACTAGATCTGCTTCTGAGCTGGCCGGCAGCTGACTTTATGTCTGATTTTGCTTGAATTCTAGTGTTCTGAATTCTAATAAGAAAGACACTTTTGAATTTATGTGTTTCATCCTTTCCTCTTATGGCAAATAACAGACTTCTAATATGAAACTTTTATGACTAATTCAATTTCTGTTCCTGATCACACTGCCCAAGTGCAGCTAAGTAATTTTCTGTAACAGGGATATTGGGGACTGAGTTATACTTGGACATTCAAAGATCGGTGCTTACATTAAAGTTAACATTTATTTTGAGATCAAAGTTTTTTTTAAAAAGCTGTTGATCCTCTGAAAGACACCTGAATAAATAACATAGCTTTCCTAAACTTCCCACCATCTGAGAAGGGTAACACAAATAAGGGAGAAGGCTATAATAAACGTCAGGGTATTAGATTTGATTGGAGATATCAATATAAAATTTTTGTATGTTTTCTATGTACATATGTAAACACATGCACACATAAACACATGCATACATAACCGTATAAATAGACAGAGAGATATAGAAGTATAAGTGTACCTGTACCCAAATTTACTACTCTATCTGTGAAGAGGGCTTGGAAACAAGGATACCAGAGAAATGAATGGACTCTTCTAGTGCTTAGAATTTGTTGCAGTTGCTGGTGATTGAACCCAGGACCTCATGTATGCTAGGCAAGTGCTCTACTGCTAAGCCATGTTCCTGGTTCTGCAATTTGTTTTTGTTCCCCCCCGCCCCCCGGTACCGGGAATCGAACTCATGACCTTGCACTTGCCAGGCAGGCACTGTGCCGCTGAGCTAAATCCCCAGCCCCTGTAATTTGGTTTTTAAATACAGCTTTCTAGTAAGCAGAAAGAGGATTCCTAGAGAAATAACTGATCCCATAGCTGGTGGGACTAAAAAGTTAAGATTGCCTGAGACATTTTGTGGTGCCAGAACCTAAAGAACCATTCAAAGAAATGATGGAGACATGTCACAAAGACGCAGGAGCTTCTCTATGCAGCTTTGAAAGTCCAAGGCAATTGGAGCAAGAAAGTAAGTATTGTAATGGAGTGAGCTCACGGGATTAATAATCCATGATGTGCACAAACAAATGTCAAATACCTGGAGAACACAGTCTTTTTCTAAAGGTAGAATTCCAACTAATAAATACAGAAAGAATGATAGAAATAAAAAGTCGCCATTAAATACCAGGCTAATCATTGTTTTAGGGGTGAATTAACAGGTCCTGGAATTAGCAAGGAAAGGTAAGGCAAGAAACAGGAAACTTGCATATGTGTGCTTACTATGTAAGAAAGGAAAACTAACTTTTAGGTGAGAAGCCAGCAGCTATGACTTTAGCAGGTATGCTGAGGACACAGACACCCGTCTTGCTCCTGCCAAAAATGTACAGCATGAATTTAAGTGTAGTAAAATGTTAATAGACCCAAATTGGGGGATATTTTCTGGTTAGTGGTCCCCAAGAGTACCTGGGTCACAGGCTACAAAGAAACTGAGGCCCTGTTCCAGATGATAGGAGACCTGGGAGATGTGACAACAAAATACAGCTTCCGATGCTGCATTATAAAAAGAGCCTGGTAGTGGCGGAAATTGAAATAGTGTTGATAGATTAATGTTGCGACAATGCTATCACCTGACTTCCTGATTTCTTACCTGCACTGTGGTTGTGTAAGCTGTTAACCTTTGAGGAATATGGGTGAAGATTAAGCCAGAAATTGTACTATATTTTGCAATGGTGTTGGAGATTCAAAGTTATTTTAAACAGTTATTTTTAAAAGCAATAGTATTTTCTACGTGTTACCAGTTGTGAGTTTTGTGAGGATTTATGAAGCACACAAATGGCTAATGAGTCTTAGGGCTTCCTTGAAGGACATCATACTTACAAATGATTTAGCAACTTACATCACGCTAATTATGCATGATAACTTAAAGTATTAAGTTGTACTCATGGACAGAAGAGCAACATGATGCATTTAACGTATGTTGATGTGGTTTAAGCCCTTTTTACATTTTCCTTCACAGTGTATCCTGAATACTTAAATTATAAATTCAAGGAAAGAGATTTTATAATCTGAGTGCTTTCAACTGTAACTGGCAACCTAGAACAGGGTTGTTTATTTTAACCATCAGGATGGTTCACTGAACCTACAGAGATTTAAATAGGAGCATCAAAAAATGTTCCATGGTTAGAAAGATAAAGAACTGACGTTCAACTCAGTATGCAGGTGTTTCAGTATTAGAGAAAATGATGTAATTAGCATCCCTTCTGGCAAATCTCCCTATTTCCCATAATAGTCTTATTTTCTTCTAAGAACTGAGGCAACGCCAGCACTGATCCTATTGTTTGCTTCGGGGTTACAGGATAATATAAACATAGATGAAGCTGCCCGATTCCTGGTGGAGAACATTCTTGCAAACCATAAGCACTTTCCTGCTGAAGACAACGATGTGGACAAAATTAAACTGGATCAGGAGACCTCGGGAGGAGAGCGCAGAGCCCAGTGCTGCTGACATGGCTTTTGCTTCTTGTGTACCTGCCTTGGTCTTGAGCACATGCCGGAGGATGGTCAGCTGTTGCGTGGACTGTGACTCCTTCACAGTCCTGTTCCACAGGGCCCCTCTGATCACTTAAAAACACAACAAGTGGAGAAGTAGCCCCACTTGTGTTTCTGTGACTTAAGAGATGACCCCAGGCTTTTGTTGCTGTCACCACCGCCCTATGGAGGCCAATGTTTACATCCTTTAAACATCTTTGTAAGTGACTTCCTAGTGTAGTTTTTAGTGTAAGCACTGAGGTGGTAATAAACTTCTCCGCAGTGCTCTGATACTGTTGAGTCTGTGGTTGTCTCCATAGTCTGTCCTGACTCTTCAAGGGATTTGTAGACTCTCTTAGCACAGACTCTTGAAGTTACTGTTTAAAAGGTCTGTTTTCCATTGAAAACTTTGGTAGTTCTTGTAAACCTTTTCTTCCCTAGATATTGCAAGTCCACCAGGGTGGGTGTGGCATGTGGTCACACCTCTTAAAACTATTGGTACCCTTTCTAATTTCTCAAAAAAATACTCCCACCACCTCTGTATTGTGGATAGCTCCTTCTGGGCCCATTTACTATGACTCGGAAACAATGTAAATGAGTATTTCTTCTCTCTCCTTGGTCCTGTCTCCTCACTCCTCGGTGTGTTTGTTTCCAACCAAAGGCCGTGTTGATAGTATTACTCCAGTTCTCTTCCCCTAGAGCTGGAGAGTACTTTTCTTTTTTTTTTTTTTTTTTCAGTACGGGGAATTAAACTCACGACCTTGTGCTTGCTAGGCAGGCGCTGTGCCACTGAGCTAAATCCCCAGCCCAGGAGAGTACTTTTCAGGAGTGCTCTTCTGATCTGTAATGGTAACAGTCAAAAAGAGAATTTTTTTTCAATGCACTTACAATTATATCTGAGCTCCTAAAGTATGACTTGTGAAAGAAATCAGGTCATATGTGATTTTGTGTAAAAACTTTGGACATTTATAATGTAATGGTTGAACAACTTCAGGCAGATTCCACAATGTTTGTATCATCATTAAACCCAATGAGGGAAAAAGAATAAATATTTTAAGTGAAATGTGTGGCCTGTATTTTGAATTAATGTAGTGCTAAGAAGCTATTTTTCTGCCTTAGAAAATTTTACTTCTGCTTTTTATTTTCAAGGGGGTTAATTATCCAACTTCTTTCTTTCAAAGATATGTTAAGGGTTTTATGTCATAACCCAGAGCTAATGCAAAATGAGACATTGTCTCATATATTAGGTGCACTTGGTGAGAAAGACCCATGCATTTGCTGAAAACAGGAGAAAAACCAACATGGAACTGTTTTTTCTCTGACAGGTATGATTTGGGAATAAGTAGAAGTTGTCATAGGCCAGAAAATGTAGCCCTACTATATATTTAACTAAAAAGAAATCCTTTGATCTCTTTCAGCATATGTTCTACATAGAATCAGATTTCCTGAGGCCTTGATTAATTAATACTTTATTAATAAAACTCTTCATTATCTTTAAATAATGAATAAATCTTGCTTTCTAAGGCATATATGTCATACTTTAGTTTTTCTCCATGTGTAACATAAAATTTGAATTCAGGGTAACCTATATAAGCGGCTCAACGAAAGAAGAAAATATGTTGGTTCTGTTATTTACTTTGAAAAAAACTATTGTACATGCATGTATATACACACACATAGAGTAGCTCAAACACTGTACAGAATACTTTATGAATGAAAGGATATGTATTTCCTCTTTATATGAATCTTATATATTATGAAAATCCCAAAGTTTTAACCTGCCATGTACAGACCAGTAACCCAATAAAGTTTCTCACAGTGATTGCTATCAAAGGTGGTGATTTTCCAGAAGTGTGATTTGGGTTCCTGAGATGTGTACATGAAGCACTTCAGTTGCTCAGTGAAAATTCCTGAGACTTACTGTAGGCTTGCTGAGTTAGTTATCTAAGGACGGAGTTCAGAAATGCTTTTACAGGCAATCTGATGTTTATTTTGACAACAGTGTAAGTATCAAATAGGAAAATGTTATTTAGTGTAAAATGTATGGTATTACTCAAAACATAAACACTCTTAAAATATACTACTTTCATTTCCACTTACAAGTCATTGTTATCAAAAATCTGAGTGTCTTAAACAATGGACAGGCACTATAAATTTACTTTCAACCACTGAAGAGGACAAAACACACAAGGGTGTTTTTTTTATTTTAAAGAGAATTAGAAATAACAACAAAATGACAACAACATAGACAAAAATAAAATGAAGCAAAAACAATAAAAATGATGCAGGATTTCAAAGCATAATGACAAGAATTGACAGTAGTTGTTATATGACATACGGTTATCTTCAATGAAGTTGCTCAGATTACCAGATGTAAGAATGCAAGATTGAGCAAACCATTAGAGAGTAAAAAATAATTAAAAAAAAAACATTAGAAATGATATAGAGCTCTGACAGTCTGAACTAACCTTCCACTATTGTTGCTACCACTGATTAGTCATTTGGAAAAAAAAATAAATGATAATTCTGTCTCACTTCCTGAAATGACAGAAGATGGAAAATAGCTTAAATGCAAAAATAAGAAATAAAAGTCTAAAAAGTTCAGCATGGAAGGAAACAGTTTTGATATTAATTTTAGAAAATCTTTTTGCATTCTCATTGCAAAGAGGGAAAGACAGGTACATCTGATTACATCAAAATATCTTATACAGTAAGCCTCTATAAGCAAAATTATATGTAACAGACAAAAGAAAATAGTATATGTACAACCTGTCCAATTAGGTGAAGGTTATTAAGCAAGATAATAAAAACTCAGAAAATTAGTAAAAATGGACAAAGAATATAAAACTAGCAATCTTATAGAAAGGGTAATCCCTGTATCAAATATTAGTAAGCAGTAACCCTTAGAAGTATAAAACTGTTACACCAGGCATGGTGGTGCACGCCTGTAATCCCAGCATTCAGGAGGCTGAGGCAGGAGGGATTGTTGCAAATTCAAGACCAGCCTAGGCTACAAAATGAGATTAAGGCCAGCCTGAACTGCACAGTGAGACCTTGTTCTTAAAAAGACACACACACACACACACACACACGCACACACACACACACACAAAAACTGTTATCAGATTCATAAAAAGTATTAGTTTCGTTATATCCTTGATATTGGCAAACAAACAGGAAAATAAGTGTTTGTAGTCTGCTATTGGACTAACTTTATTTTAATAGATACTACCAAGTTACCTTCCCAAACTGCTATCCTGTTTTCTCTCTTAGGCCATGTCTTGCCACGAAGTGAAACTATTACTGTTAGGGAAGTAAAATTAAAAACAAAATCCTTTCCCAACTCAGAGAACCTCTTCATAAAGATAGAAGATAAAGAAAACTCTTTCATCATTGCATATTGAATAAGTATTAAACCAAAATGTTATACACATTACAGGCAATTCAGTGAGACTACAAAGACAGGAGGAAATTTCACTGCTACATAGTCAAGGCTTTTTAACACATTGCACAATTATTTTTAAGAAAATACACCAGAACTAATCCTCCGTACAGAAGACTTGGCACTGTCTGTGACACATAGTTGATCTCATATCTACTTGGTAATGGGTAGGATCATGAGTGTTAGGTAATTGGTTTTATCTATGGGAAAAATCAACTTTTCCTATCTTTTCTGTGAGTTTTGTGACTTGGAGCAGGATGCTACAGTTAGGCTTCTAAAGGTGAAACAGATAGACAGGCTATATTTCGAAGAGATGGTTTTCAAGACTTGACAAAGTTGTTGAGATGCCAACTTAGCTCATAGAATGATTTGCACACATTTTAAAGAGAAAGTACTGAATGTTTCCTGATGTAATTACTCTCAGAAAAGGGGAATTAGTATTTTAGTTTAAATTTATATCTCCCCTTACCACCAACTCCTGTGTATGTAAAAAATAATAAACTTTCCTGTGTATGTAAAAAAGAGAAGTCTATTCACTACAGCACTGCTCCTATATACTTTGTACTTCATGAAAAAATAAGGAAATCATCTAAATGCTCTTCTACAGGGAAAAAACCAAAATGGACAATTATATATCTGCCCTGGGAGGTACTGCACAGCACTATGGGAACATTTCTGTTAAAATATATGTTAAGAATTTAAAGGCTTTGTGAACCATCTGGAAAGAGAAATACCAAATTTCTAATTGCAGCTGTCCCAGAGAAGCTTGAAACTGGGATGATTTGGTTAAAATAGTCTTTAGCTTTTTAGACAGTGTTTACATTTTTATGGCAATAGATTATAGATGTTTGTAACAATTCCTTTTACACTGGTCATCATGCTTGTTATACTGTCACTAACATGAAAAAGTGTGTTCTCATTTTGAACACAATGCTTTAAATAAAAGCTAGTTGGAACTGTCTACGTTTTTCACTGCATTAAATAACATCACTAATGATTTTTTCCTCTTCAGATCTTAAATATATTAGTTTTTAAATTAATCAGATAACTTCTTAAAGATTAATAGCTCTAATATTCAGCTCAGGGTACATCTACATTTGCATGGAGTCATTATTTTGTTCCTGCGCACTCCATCCAATTTTCAATAGACAACTGGCAACTATAAAGGAGGCTTTATCTGTAATCCCAGGACTCTTGGAGCCTGAGGCAGGAGGAGCACAAGTTTGAGCTAAGCCTGGGCAATTTAGCAACACCTTGTCTCAACAAACAAATATATATATATATATTTGTGTATATATATATATATATATATATATTTGTTTGTTTGTTTATGGATGTAGCTAAATATGAAGGCTCTTACTTCAACCCCCAGTAAAACCAAAAATAATTTTTTAAAGAGTAGTGTTTATGTGCATGTAAAACCACATGAACTATATATTCAATTCCATTTTGAAAGATGATCATAGAATGGCATGATTCAAGGGGCTTGGGGTGTAGCTCAGTAGTAAGTAATTGCCTAGTGTGTGCAAAGCCAAGGATTCTCTCTCCATCACTACAAAAAGAAAATTATTTCCTACTTTTTAAATTGTGGCTGTATATGAGAGCCAGAGGAAGAGATGCAGCAGTACGGCTTATGCAGGTTGGAGTTAGAGATGAAGAACTGCTGGATCTATTTACATACCCATAGGCTGTACAAAGTCACGTGAACACCACTGACATTGTTCAACAGGCCCAGCAGAGTTTCCCACACCAAATTCATTATTTTCCCATCTTCTTCTTCCTGCCAAACATCCTCTTAAAGCTTGTTTATACACTACAATCTCAATAAATTATAATTACATTTACTCTAAGAAAATGTGATGCTGCCTTTTAGTGAAATGATTATTTGGCTGAATTTGTCAGACCACAGTAAATTTATACCTTGCATTTATAAAAACTTTACCTTTGTATCTTTAGTATAGCATTAGGCATGCTGTTAAGCTGTGGATAAGAACAACTTATTTAAGAGGCTACAGAGCTTTAAAGGAAGGCAATTGCCTTAAGTGAGGATAGTCATGGTGATTGAAACTAGCATCAATTTCAATTCAATATTTGTTTTGTCTATCTGCAAAGATTATTTTCTATAGATTTCTGTTGTATTGATTATAAACTTTTAAGTGCTATACTCTCTAAAAACTTTTTTGTTAAAATTTTAGCACTTCATGCTAGTTTGATTCAGAATGATTTTTAACAGGTAGCAATAAAGTCTAATTTTTTGTAGCATAACACCTTTCATATTGACTGTGTATTGTACACTTTTGTGTTACTATCTATTTACCAGGATGATGATTTCATGATAAGTTTAATGCATGCTGGCAACAATGTACATAAGGATAATAGTGGACCTTGTGCAGGAAGCAATTAGAATTAAAACAGGAACTTATTGGCAGCAAAGATTTTTAAACAATACACCATTTGTCAGGTGTATACAATTCTAAGCACACCATCTTCTAAAATAATGGTAACAGCTAACCACAAATCAGTTTATGTTCAAACATTTAAACATACTTCAGTTCAGTATAAGATCACTGAGAGGATTAAAACATTATGTTTTAATATCACTCAAGTATTTATGCACTGAA